GGCGCCTGGGCTGGCCCCTTCGGCCATTTTTAGGCGGCCGAAGCTCCGCCTACGCCTAGTCGGATGCCTAGACTGCTTTTTATAACACTGCTTTTAGCTATTCCATGCCTGAGCTTGCCTAGGACCTGCCCACTACGAATCCTATTAGCACCTGTCGACAACCGTTTTTGAGCCACAAAATGGGGAGTGAAATTATCATTTTGCCCCACTATGTTTTCCATCTAAAGGCTACGGTAGTCGCATGCAAACGGTTCTGATAGAAATTGCTTGTACCTGCCACTAATGTATTAAAGCATCAGCCCTTACTGGTGTTAGGCAATCCAAGGTGGTTGCAGCGATTAGTGAGAAGAGTTAGCTTCTATCTTAAAGCTGTCGTTGCTTTCTGGGAGAGGAAATCATGGTTTTTGAGGTTGGAGTGCAAGGTCAGTTTCGACTGCAACTCCATAGGTACAATCCTTATAGGACAGTTTTCATGATATTACTAGTAAAATCTAGAAAATTTGAATGGGACCATGAATCTTAAAGGAATAAAGTTATTGCAACTGAAATTCACTGTTTTTTTAAAGATTCCAGTATCTGTAGTAAAAAATGAAATCGACTTGCATCAAACAGTTTGAAAATGCAAACACGAATAACTTTATCTCTGCAGAAATAAATCTGTGATGATAAGAAGCAAGAGAGGAATAGGGGAGAGAACAGCGGAAGCAGTGAGGTGTAAAGTTCACCAAGAAATTCCTATTATTATTTTTCTTTAATACTAAAAGGAGCAATCCTTATTCAGTCTTTTATGTTCTGTTTTAGGGTACTACACAAGCAAATATACACCCTAACCCTTTACAAAAAAATTTCAGATGAACCAACACCATTCTTTCAGTTATTTCTTCACATTTGAACTGACTACAAATTTCATCCTACCTAGCTAGAGAGTAGTGACTCGGAAAACGATTACAAATAACAAAAGATGGCTCAACTTAACAATAAACCCACTCTTTGATTTATAAAAAGACTCAAAAGTTTCAATTCGAACACGAAAGTGGATCCCTTTAACATATTGTATCCCTTATTGACCTTGTTGGCCCTGGGTTGCATCAATATCGAGCTTTTTAGGTCTGTTTAATGACTTTTCATACATTGGAGTGGGGTTGTGTTGTGTTCAAATTCTAGATTATTATTATTATTATTATTATTTTGGGGTGTGTGTGTGTGTTGTGCATCTATTAACGAGTTCTTGCACGTGGTCAGTGTCTTGAATACATTTCCTCTTTATGTGAACGTGACATATTTTGAAAACTTAATTGTGTATTGACATTGAAAATTAAAAAATCTCTCATTTTTCTTAATTTGAGATGCTGGTGCCTACCATTATGTGGAAAAAAAGAAACCACATGTATTTTGCAGAAATAAAGATTCTGTCGCTTAAAATTGGGTAGTAAAGAGATGTTTTACAACAAATGTTTCTCACTTTCCAGTTGTTTTTAATCTATTCAGTTTACGGCGCCAATGTGTGCACTTGGAGAATATAATCCATGAAGAGTTATCTACCAAGCAACCTGAAGTTTATGAGTGGTTTTGGTCCAGCCAGCATGTAATGGTGGTGACAACTTATGTAGATCTTTTTGAAAGGGATCCTCGTTTTACAGATGCTACAATGCTGTAAGTTATAGAAGTTGCTGTAAGTTACAGAAGTTTATGCCATGCTACTGAAGTTTATGTCAATGCATAGCCAAAAATGGTGGAGATTGGTGCAGAAACTAACTTTCTTTTAATAGCAGATGCTGGAAAGGGGATTCATCAGGTTTAGATCCTGCTTCGGATATTTCACTGCTTACACTTGCCCTGAGCTGCCTTGCTGCCGTCAAAAAGCTTGGATCAACAAAAATCTCTTGTTCACAGTTCTTCACAATGATCCCTGATACAGTTGGTAGATTGATGGATATGCTTCTCGATTTTGTTCCAATACAAAAAGCTTATCATTCAATGAAAGATATTGGGCTGTGCAGTGAATTTCTTTTTCATTTTGGTCCAAGAGCTGCTAAAGTTAAATTTAGAAATGATAATGGAGCTGAAGAGATAGCATTTTGGATTGATCTTATACAGATTCAGTTGCAACGGGCTATTGATAGGGAAAAGATATGGTCAAGGCTGACAACATGTGAATGTATTGAGGTTGGAAATTGAAACTCCCTTCTTTCTGTGGAATGTACTATTGGCTTTCTCTCTTTCTACAATTTCTTTTTGTATTTGATTATTTCTTGATAGGTTTCATGTGGTTATTTATATTCTCAGTTTTTAATGCACACCATTGTCCTCTCTCTCTCTCTCTCTCTAGAATATTGTTTTGTGTTTGATTCTTTCTTGATAGGTTTCAAGTGGTTGTTTGTATTCAGTCCTAATGGACGCATACGCACGCGCACACAAATACTGGAGATGAGGTGTCGCCTCATTCAGTAAAATGAGCTACCAAGAGATAGGAGTGCTAATTTTACCTACTTCACTATAACTAACAGGTTGAGGCCTCACATCTGTTGTCTATCTATATTGGTAGCTCATTTAACAAAATGAACTGCCTCATCATAATCATTTCCTTTCGGCTTTCACACACACTTTGTGCGCCTATGATTACATTTGTTTTTCCTACCCAATTGCCCATTAATCCTTTCCATATGTTTTCTTGAGCAATCCTTATTCTTTTGGCGTCTCTTTCATTCTTTCCGTATATTCAAGAAAACCCTAACTCGTGGAATTAAATCACTCTTCTCCTCCCTCTAGTTAGAGCTTCTTGGCCCGGTTAGGTCACCAATGCATCACATCCGGATTTGGTATCAAATAAGCATTGGTTAGTTGATTTTAGAGGGAATCTTGGGCATGAGAGTAGGGGTATGTCAGCTACTTGGAATATTGAGACATAAGATATCTAGGGAGAGTAAAGATACAAATTTTGACGTACATGATATACAAAGATGTGTACTTTGTATATTTTTTGCTCTTAAACTGTGGTTACTTTTTCCTATACAAATACAATATCCAGTTTTGGTTCTATATGTTGATTGTGTACCAAAGATGCTGTCGAGTTATCTTCATTGGAGTGGGAGTTTCCGTTTTTGTAGATTTTGCTTGCATACATTTTCATCATCCTGTTAGTGGCGTCTTCAGTATGTTGAGTGGAAGATGCACTGCTGAATGCTGATTATCTTTTGCCTTGCTAAATACCTGTTTTCTATGAACTTTTCTTATATTGTTATTGCTATTCATTCATTTAGCTGTGTGTTTTTTTAAGTCCATTTCTTGTCTTCAGGTTGTGGAGGGCTTGGCAATATTTTGATTCATTATTGCTTATTTAAGGAGAAAAGACACTTACATTATTTCAATTATCTTCCAAGTCAATAATATCAAGGTGCTATTTTGCAGGTTTTGGAGAAGGACTTGACAATATTTGGATTCTTTATTGCACTGGGCAGGAGCACCCAATCATTCTTGTCTGCAAATGGTGTTTCTGCAAAAGACGACCAGGTTTCAGGCATCATAAGGTATCTCATGCTTCTCGGACTCCCTCTAACTCTGAACACATGAACTTTATTTGTTTTATTATTTGTCCTTGATTTCTAATACTGTTTATGTATCATGCCACTTATTCTTGACTTCAGGTATCTGATCGGAGGAAGTGTGCTATACTATCCTCAGTTGTCATCCATTAGTTCGTATCAACTGTTTGTGGAGGTGAGGATGTGAATTAGCATACCATGAAGCAAAATTTGCAGCATGCATTTTGCTTGAGCTACATTTCTTGTTTCTGTAGGTAGTTTGTGAAGAGTTGGAGTGGCTTCCTTTCTACCAGAGTAATGTGACAGATGCGAAGGCAGCTGAAAATAAGGGTAAACAAGAAGGAATGCCTCGTGAGGAAGCCATTTCCATAGTATTAGATGTGTGCTCATACTGGATGACAAGCTTTATTAAATACAGCACATGGCTTGAGAATCCATCAAACATAAAAGCTGCAAAGTTTCTTTCTATTGGGTTGGTTTCTGATCTAGAATGTTCAAGTTATTCCTTTTGTTCACTCTAGAATGGAATGTTTTTTTGTTAGTGCTTCTATAATATTTTATATTTCTGTTCCTTTCTTTTCTATGACAAGCTGATTGAATGTATTATATTGCTTACTTCTGCCATTTCTTTCTTATGTGTTTTAGGCATAGCAAGCTGATTGAATGTATGAAGGAAGTTCGGATACCAAAGTGAGTTTTTCAAGACTGAGCGACTATATATTTATATTTTTTTCTTTCACATTCTTCATTATTTGGGTGATCAGATAACTGTTTCTTCTATCATATCATACTCTTAATAAGAATCATTGTTTGAAACTTCTACAACATGTATCGCAGGAATGGAAGGATAAATTATATTGTAAAAGATAAAGGTAACCTGGGATCTGAAACTCGTTCACGTACTGGTACGGAGCTGGACTCTTTTGATAAGGTACTTCTAAGGTTTCATTAAATTAATGTTTAAATATTTGTTCTGCTGTACATTTTCTAGAATGACGAATGTACAACTTCATCAAGCTGAATATATAATACTTCAGAAAGTCTAGGGACACTATTACTTAATGAGTATATCAATGCAGATTGTATATGGGTGGACAAGTTTGGTTGATCAAATAGTATGGTTTGCTATATGAATATTAGTTGAGCTTGCTGTGATTATAAACGGTCAGGTCTAAACTTGGTAGTCTTCTTCAGTAATTTTCTTTATTGATTTGAAGATTCTTTCTTGCCCACTTAGTTTTCCTTGATGCAATGTATCGCTGATGACCCATATAAGTTGAAAATTGTAACCTGCTTTTCTCTCTTTGTCCTTGCTTCTATCCTTCCTTGTTCTATTGTATCAAGGACTTGAGAGCCATCTACCTTCTTATCTGCATTACGGGTTCCAGAATTTGGCAATCTCTCAAGCAATCTTCCTGCTCCCTTTGGGCACTGGTTTTCATACATTATATTGGTCACTAAATATGAACTTGGCAATATTGGAGAGTGGTTTCGTTTAGGAGGAGGAAGACCTAAGGGACCAAAAACCAGGCACAAGATTTTTATTTCATGAAAGTAGGTTCATAATAAAGAAGAGATCTAAGCAAGAAATCTCCGTATTTGGAAGTGCTGCACATCAAGGTGGATTCTTTGTGTGGGACATCAAAAAAGAACAAGTTAGGTGGAATTTGAGGGTAACAACCTGTTAAGCCAGCTTCATGTTATTCCTGTATGTTTTAAGTTTTTTTTTCACCCACATCGTCTGCACAGGACTGGTTGGATTAATCTTTTTGGTAAAAGGGGTCGTCCTGCATGGTGTTCAAGCACGAGGTTCCAAGAGGCTTTAGTTCACATGTCATTAGTAGCAATGCCCCCCACCCACCCACCACACACTCACACACGTCTGATTGTAAACAAATGACTGGACTCGCTGTGAGAAAGGATTTAATGAGATTTGCATTTACTGAAATTGTATCTTGTTCAGAAAGTTTATGAAGCTGCATCAGTTTGTTGGGCAAGGCTGGAAGTTAACAGTCGAAACTTAAGATTACCTGGTTTTTAGAACTTGTTTGCGCTCTACATCAGAGAGCAAATGTGCAATAGTCAATGTCCATATTTGATTATCTCTGTTCTTTTAAACTTTCCCCTTTTTACCTGTGATTTATGTTATTATATAAGTTATTATTTTTAATCAGTTGTTATTATTCTGTGTGTTCTTTTTAGCTAATCAGAATTTTCATTTTCTGGCTTCAAATGTCCTATGTATGGTCCTTAAACATCACTTCTTCATAATCAATTTAACTTATGTTTTCAGGCACTTGAGAGTGTCGAAGAAGCTCTTATTAGATTAGAGGATTTGCTGCAAGAGCTACATATTTCTAACTCAAACTCAGGAAAGGAACATTTACAAGCTGCCTGTTCTGATCTCGAGAGAATAAGAAAGCTTAAAAAAGAGGCTGAATTTCTTGAGGCATCGTTTAGAGCAAAGGCAGCTTCTCTGGATCAGGTATCAGGTTTTTCTTGTTCAAAAATTTGTATTCGCTTGGTAATGCATTATTTCTCTCATGAATAATTTCTTTTCAGTTCAATGTAATCACTCTATCATTCAATCCAACCAATTATAATCATGTGGTTGGAATTTTTCCATCTGCTTGTTTTTTTTTTTTCTTTTTCCAAATGTTATGTGATTATTGTTTTTTTCCATGTAGCATAATGTATATTGGAGAGTATGTCTGGGTGATTTACAAATAAGTGGCACAGTTGTTCTGTGGTCAAATCATCTCCATGCAGAACCTAAGCTTGACTATAAACATTGAAACCTTGGGCCATCAACCTTTATTATGTTATCTAAAATGCCTTAGAACTAAAAAAAAATGAGAAGGAACTCAGTGGTGCTATTGATTCTGTGCGTCCAATATCCATGAAAACAGAACCGACCACAACCTTTATCCTATGTTCCAAACTAGAAGCATGGCGCAGCCATAGTCCCACTGCATGGGAAAGACACACCACAACAAATTCTAAGGAGTAGACAAAATAAATAGGTTATGGTAATGTGCATTCCATGTCTTCACGATTAACTGTTACGATGCGGGTGTCTGTGATTCATAGGTTCATCAGATGAGCATAGTGAATTTATAATAAAAGAGGATTATGATCAGTGTTTTCATTGGTCTATAATCTACATATGCACCCGAGGATCGGGTGTGTTTAATAAAGTGATTAGACAGTCATGGTAATCAACTCTATTTCTGGTGAGAATTTCTGTTAAAATTTTTCATGAGTGTTACTCAATTCCTAGAATTAAAAGCCTGCTACTTATTTATTGTATTAAATTGAACTATTGAGGTAATTTACATTATTTGCAGATAATGTTAGTCTTCTCAAAGTCAAGACCATTACACCTTTCCCACTTACTGGGGGTTTCCTTATGAAGTTCCGTTGCTCCCAAAATTTCTTTTCCTGTTCAATTTCTTTATTATAATGCTGAAGTTAACTTTCATCTCACTCATTCTTCTATCGTTTAACGCTACCTATAGCAGCAAGAGTTGCTCGTGGGAGTGTCCTATGCTTTGGCTACATGCCTAACTATATTGTTCAATCTTTAAACTTCCTCCAATATCTTTCTAGCAGGTGTCCGTGTATAACTTTTATTTATCTTGTATTTGTTTTGTACTTTAGTTCATAGGGCAAAGAGGACTAGATGTAGACCTAAAACAACTTGTTGCAAGCAAGTTAAAAGGATATGATAATAGTTAACTTAGTGTAGCATATGAACCATATTAGAATTGAATGGAAGAATATGATTCATGTAGCCGACCCCAAAATTTTGGGATACATGCTTTGTTGTTGTAGTAACTGTGGTTTGTACCAAGCTGTGGTACAACATTCAAATTGCGAACAATGCAGAGCATGCAGGCCACAATATTTTCTGATCTTAGATTATTAATTGAATAAGCACACTAGGACCATAATTATTGCACCGGAAAAGGAGGGTAAATTTTAATTCGGGTGGACGAACTTTTCTGATGAAAGTAGAATGGCTTTGCTTTCAGTCCTCTCATAGATGGGTAGAAACTAAAATGAAAAGAATTATGAATTCTTTTTATTTTGATATTTTTTCTCTTTTTCTGAACTTATAGGATATTGTTTCTCTTTTCATTTGTTATTCAAGCCGTCAAAATCCAATGCTTGGCGCCATTTGTTCAACTCCATTCACTTGTCTAAGCAAAGTAAACTGAATTTTAATTCCAGCAGATCAGTTTGTCTTCCAGCACCTTGTTTTCCTAATAAATCGTGGCTCTTCAACTAGGTGGATGCCGATGAACGTTCAACATCTTCTGCTAGTCAGCAGGGATGGTTTTCAACTCAGGGTGGAAAAACATCTAATGAGAGTGAATCAGCTCGGAAAACTGTAGAGAGGTGAGTATTTTCTGGCATCAAGTACTGGTTGTTATGTATTTTCGTCTTTGTGGTTGAAGCTATGGCAAACATTTATATATTCTGTAAATGAAGCTCAATAAAATAAACTGCGATATTTTTCTCAGGGGATTTACTTTGATATTAATTCTGTTTGTCAGGCTGGGCACTAAACCTCACAGTTTTTGGAGTTTTCTGGTGCAAACTTCCACCAAAAATGCTGGACCTGGAATTTCAACAGTGGATCAAAATGTAATGCTTAATACCAAAGTAGTTGATGGGTCATCACCTGTCGATGTTTTAAATGATGATGCATCATACATGAATTGAATAAAATTGATACATGGTATACCTTTGATTTTAAATATTTGATTAGCGCTATTGATTGTAGCTTGCATCGGGTAACTTTTATTTCTGTTCTTAAGAGGAAAAATCTGTATAGTTTCACATTTAGTTACAATGGTGGACTATTTTAGGAGTGACAATTAGGTTGTGTCGGGTCAATTTCTGGTCAACTCACGTAAGGCATAACCTAACCCAACCTGTTGGGCAGATTGGGTTCATAGTTGGGTACTTGTTTTGTAATACTTGGTAATAAGTTACCTCACCTACAAGTAGTTCTGCTGCATCCCTAGGACTTGTAGGAATCCTGGTAGAGCCGTTTTTTTGTAAGATCATAATAATTCTGTCTCATAGTTTCTATAAAGAGCGTATGAACTGAGAAGGATATTAGCATTATTTACTATTAATATCATTGCTGAAACTAGTCTTATAATTTGAAATCTCATTTTTATGTTTGGTTGATAACTGGTAGCATATTGATAGTACCTTCTGATTGTTTGACAAACTCAATGTTGCTTAGTTAACAAAAATGACTACTGTGTAGGTTATGTCTTCTGCAGTGGACAGTCAAGAAACAGAGTTAAATGAGATACGCCGCTTTGAACTCTTGAGGCGTGAGCTAATTCAACTTGAGAAGAAGGTTCAAAGAAGTACCAGTGACTCTCAAAATGAAGAGGTATTCCTCATTATAGATAAGGAAATTTTTTATACCATACGTTGTGAAAGTGTTTACACCAAAAAATATTTATTATATTTTAATTTTATTTTCTCAGGACTATGAACTTGAAAATGAAGACAAAATGGTTTCTGCTGTAGGGAATCACGTAGTAGTTCATGAACAGAAGAACAATAATGTCATTTCTAAGTCAATTCAAAAGCTCAAAGAGACTAGTACGGTAATGATTCTTTCATAAGCTAAGATATGAATACTGGATTTCTTATGCTCTTTTCATTCTTGATATCAGGTTGCATTTTTTTTTGGCAACTATAGTTAGCTTTTCATTTTATTATCTGCTGTAGGTTTTGATTATTCTTTTTCATTCTAATTGACTGCAGGATGTTTGGCAAGGAACTCAGCTCTTAGCCATAGATGTTGCTGCTTTCATTCTAATTGACTGCAGGATGTTTGGCAAGGAACTCAGCTCTTAGCCATAGATGTTGCTGCCGCGGCAGGATTACTCAAAAGGGCTCTTACTGGTGATGAACTCACGGAGAAGGAAAAGAAGGCTCTCCGAAGAACTCTTACTGATATGGCATCAGTTGTTCCCATTGGAATTCTCATGCTTCTTCCTGTGAGTATTTGATTTACATTATATCTATTTATTGTATTTTTTTATTTATTTATGGCCAATCTACTTTATGCTTCTCCTCTGTCCTACCTGGCCATGCTTGTTTACAGGCTTTGACTGGACTGGTTACTGCTATAAGAATTATGGTGTAAACTGCAGACTTTTAGACATTTTTTGCTGCAAAATGACAAGGTAGTTCACCAAAGTTTAAATGGGCTATAATCTCCACGAATTTAGTTAGTAGGCTTTCAGTCAATTAATCATCCAGTTTTGCCAAAAACTTGATGAGTATTATCTATCAAAATAAGCTGTGGCCCATGAGACTAGTGCATGATCCATTAAGGTTAAGTGAGGCACAAAGCAAGCTATTTATAGACAGATCCCACTTGTGATGTGACATGTGGATTGAGGTCTGTATTCTCTAATTTGTTTCTTGACATCCTGTAATTTTTGTTTTTTAGAAAGTTCTGGTGGATGAAGGTAGCTGTAGTTTTTTGAAAAAAAATTTAAAAACTTTTTCCTAGACTCCAATAATTTTTTTCTGAACATCCTTCTTTTGTGTTGCCTAGAAAGTTAAAAGCCTCAGAATCAAGTTCCCACTTTCATATATGTGCTGAACAGTGATTTTGTTTGAGCTGTTATTTTCTTATAAGTTTGAACTTAGAAATCATAGTAGACCAACTAGAAGTTGCTACGTTACTGTTACAGTCATTTTATCAGTACATGCAATGTTATTGGTAAATTTTGCCTTACTAATTTATGTGTCATCTTAGGTTACTGCTGTTGGACATGCAGCGATGTTGGCTGCCATTCAAAGATATGTACCTGCTTTGGTAAGAATCATTGCGATTCTTCTTCTTCCTGTGGGGGCAAGTACTTTATGTTTACTGGACTGAAACTGCTGCTCTTTCCTTGGTTACACTTACAGATACCATCCACTTATGGTCCAGAGAGGCTGGATCTGTTAAGGCAGCTTGAGAAAGTGAAAGAGATGGAGACTGCTGATAATGGCTGTGACGAAATGACAGAAGCAATTAGCTCAAGCAGCAGCAATCCACAATAATTTCATTTGCTGATATTAAATCAGCAATATGATGATACGTACTGGAAATTGTACAAATCAAGATTGACCATTTCATATAGGTATATACTTTGATTATTTCACACAAAAGGCTGTTGACTGGCCTCTGAAAGAGGTTGAATTAAATTTTTAGTCTAGGAAAGAAGTGTTAAGCTTCCTGTTCCCATTTCTTTGGTAGTCCCCTGGTGCCTGTTGTGCCCCCCCCCCCCCCCCCCCCACACACACACACACACACCAAAAAAAAAAAAGTTATTTGTGCCATTTTAGCAGTGCGATTGAATAACTATTTGAATCTCAGATTGTTTGTTATTGTTTGCATCTGTAACCAAGACACTTGTGTGTTTTTAGGACGTATTTTTGTCACAATGTGATGCTTTCGCTTATAAACTTATTTTGCTTTCTTTTGGCAGATGATCATAGAGAAAGTGCATGGAATTCATTGAGTACAGCATTACCGAGGGGCTGAACGAAGTCTGAAACGATGCTTCTTGTGCATCATATATAGATTGATCATTTGTTGAGTACTGTTGCATTAGAGGAATGAACTCTACATGCCTCGAGTTAATTGTGCCTAGTGAAAGGAAACTTCTTCTTAGTCTTCTTCTTTTTTTCTTTTTCCTGTTCATTACAGAACTACACGTAAATTTGTACCTGTTGTTGCACTTGTAATTTTTTGTACATAGATGCATTTCGTATAAATTAGTTAGTACGATAATAATTGTTGTTGACGCCCAATCTCAATTTTTTTTAGCTGAACTGTGGTATTAAGACTTAATTCTTCAGCATCTTTTCGTTAACCACATTTACTTTTAGTAGGATTCCTTTGGGTATAATTTCAATAGATTTATAAGGGGGACGTCTTTTTTTCATTTATTTTTTTTAAAGTTGAATTTCCACATAATATAAGCAATAATATGTGTTCCTAAGCTAGATGTACTATAGAGGAGGCAACTTAAGCTCTTGGACACAATCTGATCTATGTCCCCTGTACCCTGTTTGATAATTCACCTGCATTGGTAAGTTTTAACTATTCTTCCTGTTCACAATGATTTTGTGTGTATGTTGTGTACACGAAGGTTATGTTGGCTTGGTAAACAAAGCAACCTAGGATTCCTTCACCCCCGAGGATTATCGATAAATGAGGAGACTTGCCAAAAAAATTCTCAAGAACACTTTTCTAGCACTTGTATATTGTTGTTCTTTCAATGAAGTGTTGTTGTATGTAAATTCTTGCTATTATTATTTTTTTTAAAATCCTCGCGTTCCTACTATTTTTCTTTAAAATATTATTTTCCTTGTTAAACTAAGAATGCATTGTGATGCGACTTTGCTTGTATTCAAATATAAATATGTATATAGAACTAGAAACAAACCTACAATTTAAATTTCTACTTAATTCTTAATATAAATCGGTGCATTTCCTGAAGAAAAAAAAATTAAATAATCGGTCAATCCGAATTCAGAACCCAAATTCAATAGGTTACGGACTTGTTCAGATTGTGTGTGTACGCGTATCTTAGGAGTTGAGGTGGATCTTTTGTAGGATCCGACCGAAATGAAATTCGACCCGTTAGTGGCGTGAAGATAACGCCATCCTGTCTGAACTATAACAGGATCCGCGCACGTGTCCAAGAGCGGAACTCGAGTCCCGTCACCGTCCACATGTGACCGCACGAACTTCAAAGCAAAACCCCCTCCCTCCTCCTCCTCGTCCAATGCGGGCGTCGGGGTCGATGATCGAAGCTTCAAGAACCCATTCCTATAACTGATAAGATTCAGTGTCACTATCAGATCCCCTCTCTCTCTCTTCGATCATGGATTCTTTCCTTCTCTCTTCGACTCGAGCCTCTCTTTGCTTCGGTTCGACTCACAGCAGAGGGAGCGATCGTCCCTCAAATGCTTGTCCTCTTCGATCTTCGCTAGGATTTCTGCGCTTCGGATCGAGGTACATTTCCCGTGTTCCTGAATTGTTGGTTTTTACTCAATTTCTCAAGTTTCTTGCTGTAATTCTTGATAGAATTTGGTTGAATCTGTAATGCGACTTGATGAGGTCATTTATTTCAGACTATTGCGTATTTTGTTATCAGAAGTTGTTATTTGCGAGTCTAATCGATTGCAATCTTGAGCCGATTCATTTAATAACCAGGTTGAAAATTTTGAATAAGGGTGGCTGAAAATTTTGAGGCTGAGAGCTAGTAGAACACTATACAGACGAGTGCCAAATGTGCTTTATGCACTATGCCAAATGTGCTTGTTTACATGTAGAATAAAAAATGATATTTCAAGTATCAGATGACACTATGAATAATAAAGAAACATAATAACCAAGAATCAAATCTCTCGCTTTGACATTGAAGTTTGTTGTTCATTCCATGGCTCATTACATTTCCACCCACAGAGTGATGTGTGAACTATTAGTTTGTTTAGACACTGGTAAGTGGATAAATTATCATTCTTCTGTAATTTCCTGCTCAGAGCTACCATTTGCTTGATAGATTTAGATCAAGTACCGCTACAATTGCATCCAGGGGACGAACAATATTTGGCAAGGCATTTCTCACCTTCTAGATTCCGTGGTTTACTTGAGTTTTTCTTTCCAATTGAAGGGATAATCGGCTACTTGAAATAGGTCCCCATAATATTGTCAGGGGGGATACTGGACGTGTTTATGTGCGGCATGCAGAAGAGAGTACCCTGAAGGTATATGAAAATATCTTTGTGTTTTTTGAAAAACATTTATACGTGTTACCTCGTCATTAATTTCCGTGAAGTATTCATGCTAATGGATTGAAATAGTACAAAATAGAAACCATGAGACTAAGGCATCAATAACGAGTGTACGATTCTAACTAGGAATGGGATGTATATGATAAAAACAGAACCCTCTGCTATCCAATCAAGTTGGAGATCGAAGCGGACAATCCATAAAGCTCTCACTTTTGAAGAACTTACATTTATCTCATTCTTTTGGTTCATTGAACTTGTTATTTGACATTTATTGTTCATTGGATTGTGACAAAGGGTTCTTATATAATTGAATTATTTTAGGGATCACAGATATGATCAGTTCTTGACAGCAGTATTGCTCTGAGCCTCTGATTGCACTAATTGTTGCGTTTCATAAACATAATTTTGCATACGTCCTTGTATTAGTTGTGAGCCAAACTACCTTATTTAAATAGAGCTTGTATGGTGATGAAAATATATTCTATACATGTATTGGTACCGAAACATGATGTCAACTAAAACCTTGGACTCTTCATAATGTTATCAAAAAGCAATAGTACATATATCTTTTACTTACTATGATCAACATTGCTTGGATCTTTAACGGTAGGAAATAAGTTCTCCAACAATGGAGGTTGACAATCCTGTGAAAATTTCTTCTGGCAAAGCTTTTCCTCTTGGAGCATCAAAAGTGGAAGATGGAATCAATTTTGCTATATTTTCTCAGCATGCATCTTCAGTCACACTTTGTCTCTCAATTCCTGAGAGGTAAACGCTTATGCCCTTTTCTTAGTATTTGTTGTTTCTTAAATATTTCTTTTGCAAAAATTTTGCATGTGATATGATCCTCATTACAAATTGAATTTTTAGATACTTTATACATATATTAATAAATAGAATTTCAGTCCCCTGGTTTGCTTTACTAATGGTTGAGTGTTTCGCTTGATGCTTTATCTAGTACTTACTGTTAACATCTTTTTGCCTACTAAACAGATAAAATCTATTTCTTGATATTCCAAGAATCATGGTCTGGACACCCTAATAGGAGGCATGGGAAAAAAGCAAATGTAGCATGAACGCATGCAGATGTTTGGTCTCATGTTTTCTTTTTCTTCATTGTACAATTACAGACTCTTAAATGCATGCTTTTACATATGTAAATGTAACTATATCATTATAGCTGTAGGGAAGAACACAGTGGATAATCACCAGATTTCACATTAGTTTGTGCTTCTCCTTCTTCCCTCCTCTCTTCCCTCTTTGTTTTTATTTTTCATTGGTTTTGCCAATTATAATTTACTAATGAGGTCTGTGCACACCATTAAGCCTCTTTCAGCTTCAACTGTATAGGTTTTCTTTTACTCTTCTTTTGACCATGGTGATTATTGCTTACCAATTTTGTCTGGACATGCATAAGTACATTTCACCTCCCAGGTTTAGTTGAATAGGTAGTAACTTTTGCTTTGTTTTTGTTTGTACAGATCGATTGTATATCTTCTTTTGCTTAGCTTGTGAAACCCTTTAACATTTATTTCCTTTCTTTATCAGCCTTTTGGTGTCTTAATTGGTTATAATATTTTTAGGAACAACAATGAAGAGCTACGTGATGGCATGATTCAAATTGCACTGGATCCCCAAAATAACAAGACTGGGGACATATGGCATGTCTGTGTAGAGGTATTTTATAGTATGAAAAAAGAGATAATCAACGGATTATCTTACATACCGTTCAGGCAATTTCATATTTCGTCTAATTTGCTATTATTTTCATGAAAATCACTATCCAGTTGGTTAATCTGTATGAGCAGGTATGACAGCTTGTGTTTTGACGCATAATGATGGATGTGTGATTAGGAGTGACTTTACTTTCATGTGAGATTGATCAGCAATCAGAAAGCTTTCACTTGATTCCAGGATCTTAAATTAATTAATTACTATTCATGTGTCCTTTGGTGCATGACTACATGTGAACCTGACACTACTTTAGGTCTTAGTACCTTGAGACCAAAAATGAAACAGCCTTGACAAGATTGTGCATATACGAATACCTTCATCCAGAAACAACTGAAGATGATAGTTTCTTTAAGATGGTATGGAAAGGATGCTTATACCAAGGGGATAAAGAGCATACCAGAAGGTCAAGCGACACTTGTTTCTCTTGGATGAGATGCTGTATGTGTGTAAATTTATGTGGACTCCAGCAGAGAACCTCGGCAAACTATCTTTTTAGGAGCTTATGATTTGTTATTTATTCCTAGCATTGTATGCAAACGATTTATCCTCTGAAAGTCACAAGGATTTTGTTGCATCTTTTCTGATTAAATGATTTATCAGTAGATAATTTCTTCATTTTTCTTCTGAATCTATTATTCAACCGCAAAATATATCTTGCTAATATGTATTTAATCTATTAAAGCATTATCTGCATTTGCTAAATTGTAGTACACTTTGAATGGTCTGTTTTCATTTGGACACTTACCTCGGCTTCTATGCCATACCTGTCTTCCATGTTCAGGGTTTGCCTGATGCAGGTGTTCTTTACGGTTACCGCATTGATGGACCCCATGACTGGAAGCAAGGGCATCGATTTGACAGCAACAACATCCTTGTTGATCCTTATGCAAAATTAGTTTCTGGTCGCAACTTATTTGGAGATGCTAGGAATAAGATGTCTAAATTTCTTGGAACTTATGATTTTAGTAGCTTGCCTTTTGACTGGGGCCTTCACTACAAGCTTCCAGACATACCTGAGGTATGATTAAAACTTGAGGTAGCATTATATCTTGTGTGCCTTCCTATTTACCTCTATTCTGATAATGCAGACAGATCTTGTCATATATGAAATGAATGTGCGGGCATTCACAGCTGATGAATCTAGTGGGTTAGATCCAGGCATTCGTGGGAGCTATCTTGGGGTCATTAGCAAGGTATGTCAAATATGATAAAGTTCAACCAATTCCATTCTGGCCACGTTTATATTTGTTTTCATGTGAAAGTGTCACACAAAAGCAAATGTATCAGATAATGTGATATTTTACAGATACCTTATTTACTGGAACTTGGTGTAAATGCTGTCGAACTATTGCCTGTCTTTGAATTTGATGAGTTGGAATTCCAGAGGCGTCCGAACCCTAGAGATCACATGGTGAGTTTTTTTTATTTTAATCCCAC